TTGAAAGCATAGCCAGATGCAAGCACATGCTGCACAGCCAGGTATTCAGTATGATCCTGCCATTACCTAACTTATAGACAAGTGAAATTCTGATCTTCTGCATGCTGCACACCTTCTTGGCAGTAACACGGGAAGCATTACCTGTTCACACTAAGTAGCTTGCAGAGCAGTGTACTACATATGTTTTATAATAGATGGCTGCTTTGAGGAGCAGCTGCCTGATGTAGTATGAAAGAAAAAAAATGAAAATTATCCAGTCCCCTGCCCCAACTATAGAGGTCTGGGCCCTGGGATTCAGCTCCCAAACTCTCCTCAGCAATGTCTATGAATATTGGACATTAATCTAAAGACAGCACCCAAAGAATCTTTGCACCATAACCACTAAAATACATTGTAGTAGTTATGGTACTTTGAGTGCCAAATTTACATCTTAATCTTAGTAATTGTTGGCATAAAAATTAAGAAATACAAAACTAACTAAAAACAAGGTGCTCTTAGCCCTTCAACTTTTAAAGGCGTTTGTCAAATGAAGAACATGTTTTGCAATGTGCTGTTTTTCACTGTGGCACGCAACCAGTTAAAAGTATATCTAGTTATTCTCTCATAACGTAAGGGCTAATCCGGTGTCTTCCGCTTGTCATGCGGTGGGGGTGGTAATGTGGGCCAAATTGCTTTTTTACATCCTATGCACTTTCTCATCCGATCTGAGGTCTCATTGTAAGAAAGAGGATCTGGAAGACTTTTAAACAATTGCACTCGTTCTTTTCAGTCGAGGCCAACCAAGGACAAAGGGAAAAATGATCCCACATCTTTTGCCTGGCGGTGCATAGTTTGTTAAGTCCTATTGAACGATATATCTTAAAGATGTTTTATATCTACAAAGTCAAATGGGGTGTACATTTTTATTTCGGCATCTATAATTACCAGATTTTCTATTTACATGATGTCAAGTCATGATTTTATTAATGACACGGAGCGTCATATTAGTCTGCACTCTTTATTTAATTCCCTCAGCCTTTAAAGAAAACATATTTGAAAAACACAATATAATGCACTAAACAGGTTTAGAAAAACATGATGTGACCTAGAAAAAGGGGCACCAATTAGGTAATTGCACAGTATAAAAGGTTAGTCCTCTAACATCCCATCCTACTTCTTGACACCCGAAGAAATTACTCTAACTGGATGTTGACACAAACCATGCCATTAACCAGAAACAAATAGCAAACAGAGCCTACTGAAACATGTAGGCAATCCACCACGAATAATGAAATCTAACAAGATTATCAAGTTGAAATAAAAGTAAATAGTAAGGTAATATCGAGTAAAATATCTTCCAAACATCAGTTGATAATATTACAAGGTATCAAAATATGAATCATGAAATGACGTTATGGTTCATAGATAATATCCAAATCAGGAAACATATTTCACTAAATCAGACCACAGAAAACAGTACACTTACAATTCTTGAGAGTAAAATTTAGCACCAATTGTAGCGAAAAATAAATAAATAAGGGAGCTCAAAATAAAAACCACCTGGGAAAGCGGCAAATGTGGAAACCCAGGTTTTGAAGTAATTGGGAGCCATGCCCCCAGAACGTTCTCATTCTAACGTTTTGGCAGGCTGTAATGTCATCAGCATCATGATGTCGACGCGCATGTGCCATGTCATAAAAAGGGGCAAAACTATCGCAGCTGGCACGAGAATCGCTGGAAACCTTAGGAAGACTTCTGGACAGGTCCCCAACCTCCTGCAAAATGACATCAGCATGTGGCACAGGCATCTAGATAGATTATAAGCTGAACACTCCTGCTCTGAAGAAACCCAACCACCGGTTTCATGAGCTTCATGAAGCAGACAACAGACCAAAAGGGAAGCAACAGAACCACCATTTCAGATTCTACCATGTGAACTGGAGGTAGTCCTGGTGATCTTCAACTATGAGTACCATCAAATAAGCATCCTTTAGGTCTAGTTTGACCATCTAGTCCACCAGTAGAAGTAGATCTTGAAGACAGAAGACACCTTTCATTTTGAAATGATGGTAAGTGACAAAAGTATTTAGGGGTTTGAGATTAATAACTGGTTGAACCACGCCACCCTTCTTGAAAACAAGGAAAATATTGCTGACAAATCTCTTTCAAGGTCTATAATCTCTTTGAACACTAGATCTCTGTCTAGGGGGGACAAAGGAATCTCTCTGGGAAGAGAGTGTTGCACAGGTAATGCCACAAATTCTATATGATAACCCTTTATAGTTTGAAGTACACATTTGTCTGATGTAATAAGAGGCCACATATTGGAAAAATGAAGGAGTCTGTTTTAGTAAGTTTGTTTGTGCTTTGTCCAGGGGAAGTAAAGGTGCGCATGAAAGTGCCTAATTTTTTTATGAAAGAGTCCCCCCCCCAAAAAAAAAGCTCCTAGTGAAAGTCCTTGGTTCCTTGAGGGCTAGGTTCACTAAATTTAGTTTGATTTTGAGCAGCAAAGCTTTACAATACTTATACTATGGCGAGTGCCATATAAGTGCTACCTAGAAGACAAACAGCACGCTGGATCCATCCAAAGACCATCACGGGGTCCAGCATCATTTTTGCCAGGTGGTCCCAAGGTATCCAGTAATTTATCCTGGTGTTTGCACAAGGAATAGTCTAGAGATTAGTGACTGTGGGGTAGCAGCATTATAAGACTACATCATAAGAGCACAAGCAGTATTAGTCAGTACAACACATGCTTAGGCTGAGGAGTGTAGTATCAGATCAGAGACACTGGCAATTAGTTAAATCACAGACCAAGAGACACTTTGACTGCTAACTATATCCACAAACAGATCAACAGTTATGAGGTAATAGTTTTCCTGGTCCCCCAAAGGCAGTAATTAACCTATACAAACCCAAGAGGAATATACCCACCTAACCATGTTTGAGTGGAGTGAAGTATAACACAATAGCCGAGCGGGAGAGAAGGGACCATCAGCCATCACTTACCCGATGAGAGGGAGAGGAATGGGTATTCCAGGCGGTATAAAGAAAAATGCAAACCATGCATGTGCAAGCTGGCATGGCTCCAGCAAGATGGCCACCATCTTTAAGATGCACTATTCTGCAAGGTTCCATCAAGATGAACACCGCGCCATAAAGTTTGCTGCTGCGTGGACGGCTTCACCATAATGGCCGCCCTGTTTGCGGGCCCTCTGACAGCTCACCAACTGGAACCTTTAGGGAGGCCAAGAGGACCTAAATGAAAAGTAACTCTGCTCTCAGGGCACCCAGGGTAAAACACAAAAAGGGAAGGGGGTAGTAAGACTTGCATAACCTAAACAGTATTAAAGGACCACTATAGGCACCCAGACCACTTCAGTTTAATGAAGTGGTCTGGGTGCCAGGTCCATCTAGGATTAACCCTTTCTGCTGTAAACATAGCAGTTTCAGAGAAACTGCTATGTTTACATATGGGTTAATCCAGCCTCTAGTGGCTGTCTCCCTGACAGTCGCTAGAGGCGCTTTCGTGCTTCTCACTGTAAAAATCACAGTGAGAAGACGCCAGCGTCCATAGGAAAGCATTGAGAATGCTTTCCTGTGGACTGGCTGAATGCGCGCGCAGCTCCTGCCGCGCATCCAGATTCAGCCAATGACGGGGAAAGGAGGAGGAGAGGGAGCCCGGTGCTGGAAAAAAGGTAAGGAATTATGAAAACTGCAATAGTTACACTTGCAGGGTTAAGGGTAGTGGGAGTCGGCACCCAGACCACTCCAATGGGCAGAAGTGGTCTGGGTGCCTGGAGTATCCCTTTAATAAAATCTTACATTATATCGTTATGTGTTATTTTTTTATGTTTTCAAATTAATATTCATTGACAGTCTAAAAAAACAAACATTGGACTGTAGTCGGAGGTGATGTCATGGGAGAAAGAAGTGAAAGAGTCAGGGTTCTTGGAGAAAAGGGAAAGGATTAGTTAAAGAACAATAAAGGCTGGAGTAAACGAAAGAAAGGTTTCCGGGATTAAGTAGAAAATGCCAGAGGTACAGAGAGAACATTAAGTGAGGTAAAAAAAATGTGAAAATTTGAATTTATCTTCCTAGAGAATATTTATAAAAAAAATGCATAAAATCTACTACTGAAAAATTGCAAATTGCAGTGATATGCAGTTATATACTGCAAGAAAATTGCCACCTATTGCCTTCTGTGGTATTTCTTGCAACGCAGGAAGTATCCACAAGTCTTTTCTCTCAACAAAAAGTTGTTAATTTGTAACAGACCCTTAGCAAGAAATTCACCCTTCTAAAGTTTAGTAAAAGTTCATAGAATAGATGCAGATATTGATACATCACCCCTGATTCTTTTATCAATCCACAATGTATCATCGCAGGAATCTATTCAATCTTCAATCACGATATCTCCCTACATAGCCAGATACAGCACATTGTGTGCACCCAGAAAAAAGTGCCATCTAAACTATACCTAAAAATACTAAATTACAAGAAGAAAAAAAAAAAACAGAGAAAGACAGATAAGGAAGGGTGGGAGAGAAGACAGAGACAGAGAAGGTTTAGGGACGAACTGGGAAACTTGCATCCATCATGCTGATTGGCGGACGACCAATCCTCAAGTCCTTCAACTACACTAATTCCTTGAACGGATGCTATTATGTTCAGACTTAGATCTCGCCTGATTTAGTCTGGATTATTGAGGGGAGATTGCTAGTCAGATCCCAGCAATTCACCCCTACTTATAGACATCCTGAGCAGTCGGAATGTGGGCCAGAAAACCGACATCAGTCTCTGTCCTGCATTGATACCATTCTTGATACTCTGTTTATAGTTTTCCTGTTTTGATTCTTTCCCACTAATGCTATGTGACATACCTCAGTGTTTTTTATTTTAAAGTTGCTGAATCTCCACTTTCGATACTTCTAGTAATACCTCTTCGGAGCAACGGAGACCTGTGAGTCCTGCTATTACACTATTTTGTGTATTCCTTCTATGAAAATATTTCAATAAAACTGATATTTACATAAAAAATTCTTAACTAAAAAAATTAGGTAAAAACATGCATTTTTTATTAAATTTATTTTTTCAAAAACATAAAAACCTAACATAAACTCATACAAAAGTGCCCATGGAGGCTATACGGTGGGTGTATCTGGGCACAACTGGAGCACACCTTATGCATGCTTATGCCAACTGGATCAGTTCAAACGGAATTTGAAACCACTGCCCATCCATCTTTACTTGTTATCTAAAGACCTAATCTAAATCTCAAGTCTATTCCAGGACATTTCTGGTGTGTGGGAAGGCCTTGCAGGGTGTTATATCTTATGTGTATATATTTGTCCCAGTATATCCCATGTGTGTATGTCTGACCGCCATGCAGGGTGCCTACCTGTATGACAGGAAAGGGAAACAGGGTGGGGGAAAGGATATCATGATACCAGGATAACATGCTTCTCATCTATCTGAAGAAGAGAACTTTAAACCGGAGACTGGTGTTTAAAAACCAAGGAATTCCCAGGTATGAAAAAATTTACCCACATACCCTGAGGCATGCGAACAGCCATTCACTTATCCTCAGGTATGCAAAGGTGTACCAACCTCATGCGTGCAAACATATACCAACTAATGCAAATACATACAACCATGCAACCACCTTCTTACATGACAATTAACCCACTCCCCTTCTTTATGCTGATTCACTCATATTTTACCAAAGCTGTTGACTCTGTATATTTGGTTGATCTAGCTGCAGCAAAAGAAGCATTGAAGTCCAGGAGATATTGGGAACCTGACCTCTCATGGTTCAACTATGGAGTCCTCGTGCTTCTGGACATATCATAGGCCTGCGCAGCCTATTGCATTAGGGTGTGCACCCTAAAGCACAAACACACGCCACATGTATATGTAGTGTGCTGTGTGAGGGTGCTGTGTGTGTGAGGGTGCTGTTTGTGTGATGTGTGTGTGTGAGGGTGCTGTTTTTGTCGTGTATATGTGAGGGTGCTGTTAGTGTGCTGTGTGTGAGTGTGCTGTAAGTGTGCTGTGCGTGTTTGTGAGGGTGCTGTTAGTGTGCTGTGTGTGAGAGTGTTGTGTGTTTGTAAGGGTGCTGTGTGTGTGTGTTTGTGAGGGTGCTGTTAGTGTACTGTGTGCGTGAGCATGCTGTGTGTGTATGTGTGTGTGAGAATACTTTGTGTGTGAGGGTGCTCTGTGTGTGAGGGTGCTGTGTGTGTGTGTGTGTGTGGGTGCTGTTTGTGTGCTGTGTGTGTGAGGGTGCTGTTTGTGTGCTGTGTGTGCGCACTGTTTGTGTTAGGGTGCTGTATGTGTGTGGGTGCTGTATGTGTGTGTATGCTGTATGTTTGGAGGGATTGTGAAGGTGGGGACAGATTAGTAAATATCCCCCCTCCCTTCTTACCTTATGAAGGGAGAGGGGATCCTTGCTGCCATGTGCCATCCCTGGTGGTCCAGTGGAGAGTGAACTCTATCCTGCGGGGCTAGAGTTCACTCTCGCGAGATCTCAGCGTTGCTGTGGCAACACTCAGATCTCGCGAGAGGAACCTGGTGGAGCTTCTGTCTAGAGCTCCCTGGTTCCTTTCCTGCCTGCCTCCATGCTGCTTTGGGCCAGTGAGGTAGATCTTTGATCTCCCCGCTGGCCCATGGAGGCTTAAAGCAGAGCCGGCACTCAGATAGTGCCGGCTCTGCATGAGCCGACAGGGGAGATCCGGAGATCTCCCCTGTCGGCAGGGGTCAAGTCCTGGGGAATAAAGTGTGGGAACTCTCCCAAAAAAATAATATACACTAGTGTATATATATATATATATATATATATATATATATATATATATATATTGTAACAAACCACCTCTTTTACAGGTAGGATTGTCACAGATCTTGCAGTAACCATGGCCTTCTAGGGTATACAAAGTCCAGGACACATTCAGCTCAGTTTTCTTTTTTTATTTGATAAGAAAAGCAGGTGCTTTAAATAATAATAAACAAACAAAATTCCTTGCTCTTACTTGAGCTCTTACTAGACATAAATCACTCTCTGTAATTGGGTGGCTTTCCCACTTACCAATTTTCCCAAAAAACAAAAATGGTTTTGCAATACACATAAGTGTTGTTCACTCTCCTAGCTGGCTTTTTCTCCCTCACTCTGCAGCAGGCTTCCCTCTTCTTTTAAAGGCCTGTCTACTAATTGACTAGCTACAGGTGAGTGCCAATTTGTTAACTCTTAAGTCAGATCTAAATTGTGATCTGTTACACAGCAACTGGTGCAGTTGGAGCATTGGCCCACCCTGCTCTCCAAATACTCCGCCCCACTGACCCATACTACGTTTTTCAGAGCCTCAGCAATGTAGATTGCAAACTCTAACATCTCTCCCTGGGGCATTTAACTGAAAATTCTCAGGTTGCTGTTTAGCAAATCAGGCCTGATGTATCTTCCATCAATCACAATTCCACTTTTACGCTCACAATATATATATATACACGTGCACACACACACTGACACACATACACACACATATATATACGCGTACACACACATACACTCACAGACACACATACTTACAGACACACACATAATCAGACACACACTTACAGACACACACATACATTCACACACACTTACAGACACACACACTTACACACACACACATACATTCACAGACACACACATACTCAGACAGTCACAAATTATTATTTTTTTTAATAAATAAAAAGTCCACCCAGCCTCCCTACCTGGAGAGCTGGCGTGGACATGTTCCTGGGGTCCAGTGGGGCGGGTGCCTGTCTCCATATCAGGCACGACAAGGGAGCTGTGTGCTCTCTGCTCCCTCTCGCCGCGTGGGGAATCTACAGTAGCTGGGAGCCGGAATATGATGTCATATTCCGGCTCCTGGCATCAGCAAACGGCGCGCAGCGTGAGGGAACAGAGAGCACACAGCTCCCTCGCCGTGCCTTATATGGAGACAGGCACCCGGGGGGGGGTCCATCACCTCGTGCCCCCCCCCCCCATGGGGAAACACGGGGAGAGGAGGAGGGCATTTGGGGGCGGCAGAGTGCCTGAAGGACTCACAGGTGTGCCGCGTGCCAGCCACAACCGGCACACCCCGTGCGCACGCCTATGAACCAAAGTGCACAGTGAATAAAAACTGTCTGGAAGCATCAACATGAGTACCTTGCTCAGCTCATTGGTGAGAGCATCAGCTGATCTTCTGCAGGCATTAGGTCAAGATAACGGACGTTCCTGTTGAGGAACTTCCAGCTCTCTGGTGTTTGTTGTGGAGGAGCCAGGGAGTGGCACCCAGTAATGAAAACAGTTTTAATAATTACAATGGGGATAGGGAGCAAGGCCACTCAAGGCACCAAAAGACTGCAGTGGTTATGGTGCTTGGAGTATTCTTTTAACATCCCACAGGGCCCTTGGTAGTTTATCAGGCTGAGATCCCTCTTTGCTCTTCGTATAGGGATGGTGAATGTGGATTAGCTTGGCCAACTATCTCCATATCTAACCCATGGGCCTTTAGGTTGCCATATTGTGAACCACCCCATGCTTGCTAAGAACATGGCTATATAATAATTTACATTCTTCATCATAATATAAAGTGGACTGCTCATTTCATTAAAATACAGCATTATCCCAAATAAAGTTGGTCCCAAAGATTGTAGGACAGAAGGCAACCTGAAACAAAACTAAACCAAAGTGAGGGGTAAATTGATGGGTAGCATTAGGTAATATTGTTTACAGAGAAAATTGCATTTTTATGGAATATCAATAATGTTAGAGACTATTGAGCATAGCATATCAAGAAAACTTATGTTAAAGATATGTTAAAACTATCTGCAACAAATCTTGTGCATACTATATAGGCAAGTCTCCTTCACGCGACATCAAATCATGGTTATATCTTTGTATATTGTAAACTAAAATGTTAACCTTAGGTTTGTGTGTTATTTTATTTTTTTCAAAAAATCTGAGAAGCATGATTCAGTTTGATATATAACAGAAGATGGTATGTTTCCATTGCTTCAAACATTGTGTTTTAAGTGGCCATTCTCGTCCTACTGATGATGTGCAGAGATGTGACAGAGTGATGTCAACAAGTCACGCTGCTGTGAGTATCTGATTCATGCTGTGTGCTGCCGGTACAATGTGTGGTTTGTCATTTTTCGTAGTAATACAGCTATGTGCACGTCACCCTACGAACATTACTTGTTATCTTAGCCAAAAGCATCAGGCTGGGAGAAACATTCAGTTCCAAGATGTTCTTACATGTTTCATAATGTATATCCTGAACCATGGACATAGTAGGTGACAACAATTGATAACATGATTAAAAATAGATGTCCAGACTATGTGTTTTGTCCTTCATAGGGATTTCTCCAAGGGTAATGAGTGGCAGTCAGTGGAGTTTTAGTCATGTGTTTTGGATATTACCACTTCCAGACATGTAAGCCAGTAGGAGATGTATCCTATCCTCACATGGCAGCTTGACGTCGAATTTATGTGCTAGGAAAGACTGAATGGAAATTGTAACTGCATATATTTAAAAATATGCTGCTACAGTATCCAATCAGATCTTTAATCTTAGATGTTCTGTATATAGGTCCCTAATGTGGCTTACTGACATTTCCAGTCCATTTTCAAACTACACCAGAAAGATAGTTGCATCAGAGCAGGAATCACTATAAAGTAACCAGGACCCTAGAAACATGAATTTTTTGCCCCATTTACATTCCCTATGTGACGAATAAATTAATAATTGGGGGGAGGGTGGGGCGATAACTTGCTTAGGGCCATGTTGAATCCTAATCCTTCTCTGCGTTTTAAGTGATTTCATGGCCTACTGACAGTCATTCATTTATCTTTTAGAACTATGTAAGTTACTACGGGTCTTGTTGCTGAGATATACACTCATGGACATCACTAATTCAGAGGAAAAAAATTGAATTAAAGAATTAAAGGGACACTCCACATCTCAAAAGCACTTCAGTTTGCTAAAGTGCTTTATGTATGAAGAGTGTGTCCTCTTTTTTTTTTTCTTTTAAAAAAAGTTCAGATTTCAATAAATATTGACTCTTTTAGAAATGAACCTTGTTACAACCCCAGGTTGTTAATCAGACAACTAGTCCTGCTACTTCCTGGTTGTTTAGCTCAGTAGAGCTAAACTCAAGAGACAGCAATTGCAAGGATTTCTGAATTGGGAAGTCTGTCATTGGACAATCAGAGAAAGTCAGGGCAGGGTTAGAAGGGAAGGGCTTGCAAAGACGGCAGAAACGAGAACTGCAGCTCTTGCAAGATTTTTTTATATACCCTCAATGAAAATGCATTATTAAATGCACGCATGGTTTCATTTCAGGCATACGTACTAAACAGAGATGTTTTCCTATTTTTATTTATTTGTTTATTTTAGCAGGTGTGTGCCTTTAAGAATTTTAAATAGCACAGATGTTTTTTTTTTGTCTCTTAGAGGGACTGTCCCAGTGTCCCTAATAATGAGACGTGCAAAATATGAATTTCAGTTTCCCTCCCCTCCCACAATCAAGTAACTGCAGTAGTAGTATTAATAATATATGTAACAAAACATACTTTATATGCAGAGAAAATACAGTAAATTTTCAGAGCCTTGCTTACAAATTACAATCTGAATTATATTTACGGTACGTATATATGATGGGGCAAAGTGCCAGCAAAACTTTATACAAATGGTAAAAACAAGAACTATATTTTACAAAAAAAAAGTGGTAAATGGGTGAGAAGCAGGATATTTTGAGTGTTCTGTTAACCTTTTGCTGATTTGTCATGCATCAAAAGGGGTTCCCGCTTTTAAATACCACAAAATTAATTTTAGTAACCTTTCTTCTTACCAGCAAATCCAAAAATAACACATTTACAGCAAAACAACAGAGTTTAAACACATAGAAAAACCCGAGATCACAGCAGATTCTCAACTTAAGCAAATATTTTTCGGCATCCATGAGCGAAGAGAGAGCTGTAATTAGAAGTCTTCTGTATTTCACGAGAACGCCTGAGATAACTGATGGAGGGGAACTGGATGTTATCGAGGTGCTATGAATCACCTCGCCCGTAACCTATGGAAGAGAAATACATCAGCATATGAGCTAGGAGATTATCAACATGTTTTCCTCTATAATTTCATGCGGTGCAGTGAGCAGGCAAAGTCCAGCTAAATTCAGAGAGGGTGCTGAGGACATGCATTGTAACCCTTTCACTTCTAGAAACTAGAATCCTTCATGTCCTAGCTCATACGCTATGTGTCCTATGGCTTTAAAAGAGGTCCCAGAGGAAGAGTAGGATAAAGAGTTCTGCATCTTCAGGGAAGCATGCGTCCTGTGCATCTGGTAGTGCAGTGGTTCACAATCCAGTCCTCCAGTACCCCCTCACAGTCCAAGACTTAGGGATTATCCAGTCGTGCCCAAGGTGTTTTTAGAAAAAATAAGAAAATAAACACTTTAGATACAAAAAGGTAATCCCTAAATCCTGGACTGGTAGGAGGTACTTTAGGACTGGGTTGGGAACCAATGTGGTAGTGCATAGTTTTTGGGTCCTTGGAACTCAGGACCCAAGATGCCACTGCACACTTTATTAATGCTCAAGTCCTGTAGCGGAACTAATAAACAAAACGCCCTACTGCAAGATTGTGTTTGGGCTCTCTACCGCTCCAGACAATGAATCTCTAATTCCCCCAAAATATCCCCACAGCCAAATAACCAACTCTATAGACACAAGACCCTACATCCCCATGCCAGTTTTTCCTCCCCAAATAGAATGACAAGTTTCCCTGACAATTAACCCACTCACTGCCCAAATTACATTTCACCCATTTGCAGTTCAGACACATTCCACACAGTACACAAACACACTCAGTAAAGGACACAGATTCACTCCATGCAGTACAAAGACACACTCAGTAAAGGACAATGACTAACGCCATGCAGCACACAGACACACTCCATGCAGTACATAGACACACTGAGTAGAGGAGAATGACTATTCCCATGCAGTACAGAGACACACTCCATGCAGTACACAGACATGCTCCAGGCAGAACATAGACACACTCCATGCAGTACACACACTCCATGCAGTACACAGACACACTCGGTAAAGGGCACAGACACACTCCATGCAGTACATAGACACACTCAGTAAAGGACACAGACATGCCATGCAGTACAAACACTCCATGCAGTACACAGACACACTCGGTAAAGGACAAAGACATGCTCGTTAAATGACACAGACACACTCCATGCAGTACATAGACACACTCCATGCAGAACATAGACACACTCCATGCAGTACACATACACACTCCATGCAGTACATAGACACACTCTATGCAGTACATAGACACACTCAGTAAGGACACAGACACTCTCCATGCAGTACATAGACATACTCAGTGAAGGACACAGACATGCCATACAGTACACACACTACATGCAGTACACAGACACACTCGGTAAAGGACACAGACACACTCCATCCAGTACACAGACACACTCCATGCAGTACATAGACACACTCCATGCAGTACACACTCAGTAAAGAACACAGACGTTGCATTTCACGACACCTCATGTAGTTCCCAGACAAGCCATATGTTTGAAATTTTGCAGACAAATGAAATTAATTTGTTAAATTAAAGTATAAAGGTAGTAAACATCCGTTAGCACCCTTACTAGCCAGACATCAAGCCCCAGTACTCTTCTTTTTCATTGGACAGAAAGGCTAACTCACTCAGCTACCCCAGGGAACATCTCCTTCCTGTGCTCAGACCCAAGGCTGCAAAGCAGGATAAGGCAGTTGCGTCCTCCATTATTCATCTGTGCAGTAGTTCTTAGTATTCTCACTTCCCCTGAGGGTTGGCCAAGAGGAGCCCCCTACACTCTAGTGGGCCTTAGTGCACCTGTATTGGTTCAGCCCATGCTTAAGTCTGAGCAGTAAGATAGATGCTGCATTGCAACTTTATGAAAACAAATTTTGTCAGCACCAGTATTAGCATCATGGGAGTCTTTGGGAACCACACACAATTGGAGTGAATGTTTTTATACAGATAGGATTCGGAGGCAACGTTCAATTATCCTTTGTTTTCTGGTTTCTGCATCATTTAGGCAACCTAAACAAAGTCCATTGAATAGGCCACTCTGTCCTCTCTCTTGCTAAGAAAATCTTTTCAGGCCTAGGTATCCATATTTTGGGTTCAGGATTAATAATAGGTAATAAGCAAAAATAGCACAACAGTATTAATAATGATTCATATACATATGTGTGTCAAAAAGCATGCACATATACAACAGAGGCCGCGCTGAAAAGTCCTAACTGTTGATCTCTTGTCGCCTTACTAGTCATTCTGTGTCATAAATCCTCCACAGATGAGTCTTGACCTGAAATCTCACATGACTGACATTGTGGCCTAGAAATCTCAAGTGTTTGGTCACATGGGATTTATCAATGCCCTTTTCAAGGGCTAATATCTCTTCTTGATACCCTCTCACCTAGAGGACTACGATCTCAAAATTTTCTGTAACAGTTACCAAGAGCAATAGTGGGGTCATTTCCCCAACAACACTTGACATGACACCAAGAAGGTTTGTGTATAGTCGTTTTTATTTATAAAGTTGATTAGGTGCCGATGCCACCAGTACTCCAGCGTTTGATTGACAAGAATAATACTAACCTGACTGCTTCACGACAGGGCTTTCGAAGGGGGAGGATAGCTCCCGAGTGCGCCGCCCGACACCTCTGCTGAGGATTTACATCGCTCAAAACAGATACCTCCAGTACCACCAATGATTGGAGTGAGAACATCCCAAGATTACAACTAAGTGCATTCATTTTAACTAATACATGAAACATATTTGGAACTAATTTCTACTGTAGTAGCATTATACTAAAAGGACCCCTTTTATATATTTTTTCTGGAGTCAGGATGGCTTTTGTTTAGTTTAGCCATATAATATTTCTTTTGTATCTTTTTTTGCTTTTTTGTTAGCATATTTTGGCTGACGTTTTTGAGGTTTCTATACACACTAAAGGGAAATAATCTGAGTAAGTTCCATATTAACTACTTACCGGCCAGATGTGATGGACACAATTTGGAAAATTGTGTGGACTCTAAATTGATGCTCCCCAATAAACAAAAACAGTGTGGTATTTCTACAATTTGACGATTTCATTTTGGAAATCTGGGATAGGGATTAGGATTATCCCTTGGGGACAGTTTATTATTTATGTCTGTGTCATTTTGCTTTTCGCTTTATTTTTTATACTGGTTTTCTTACATTTTTATGTGTATTGTGGCTTGTAATGTGTAACATGGTTTTCCCTTGAGAGTATACATATATTCAAAAATATTATTTGGTATTTAAATAACTATTTGAAACATGTTTGCTATAATTTGGGCCTTGGGACTCGCCGTGAGCCTGATGCACCTCCAAGGTTGAGAGCCAGGGCTACATAGTTGGCTTTACAACATATTATTTTGCCTCTTAATAAATTAATGGTAAGACCCTACTTTGAATATGCATTGCAATTTTGAGTACCAGTTTTAAAGAAGGATATTGCAAAACTAGAAAAAGTCCCGAGGCGAGCTACAAAATTAGTAAGGAGGATGGAAAACATTAGTTATGAGGAAAGGCTAAAATGGCAACAGAGTTAATATATTTTTTGTTCTATTCTGGGCATTAGTAACAACTGTGCATGCATAGTTTCTCAATATAATTGACCTTTAATAATTGTTGGTCTTTAATAGTTATATGGTATGGTTCATGGCCTACCTATGATTAAGCACGTATTGTCCTAAAACACACAAAGCAGTTGTTTGTTTGTTTTTTTCTTGTGTACATATTGTTAGCCCTGACCTGGGTTGTTTGCATCTAAAATGGTTATTCACTTTGGAAATAAACTTTGGAGTCAAAGTGGTTTCTATTAGGGTTTCATTTGGACTCCACAATTATGGTATTTCACATCAAGTCTGTACGAGCTGTTCTATGGTACTTCAGGATAAACAAAGTTTCTCATTTATATGTTTTCTCATTGGTGGACTGATAATAATAGTGATAACAAAGTATTTGCCCAGGAAAGGTACATTCAGATTACTCTGGTATGTCCTGGGATTACTTTTGCTCAACATCCTGGGCAATCTCCAGCTATCCTGATTAAGGCCGAAACGTTGTATCTTGGACCAAAATTAAATATACCTACTCTTCACCCTGTACTGTGTAGACTGTGGCTCCATACTTTCGACTGTCCTTAGTTATTGTGCAAACGTGTGGACTGGTACAATATTTAGCATGTGCACGGAGATGGCATACCCACTTATTAGTCATGCCTCAAAAAATATCCAGCCCCCAGTATTGGGAGAAATGGCATAAAACAGATATGTATCATGTTTTTATCCTCCTGTTATGTTTCCATGCAACTCAATGTAATTTATTCCTTAATTCAGAAATGCGGCTAGATTTGTGTATATATATATACTGTCCTTCTGTAATGCAAACAATAATGCTAAGCTTTCTATTGTTTACTAAGATGCAGTTAGATAAACCATAGTCAGGCTTATCTTTCAGACTGAGATAAGATAATAGCTTTACACACAAAGGAGCAAAGCAGCTAAACAGCACTCATCTCATGAAAACAGTAGTAGGGTAATGTGGTTATCTCTAAATTGAAAAGAGTAAAGTTCAAGGAATCACTCAGAGTAAAACCACCTCTGAACTACTTCGAATTAGTACTAGACTGGAGCCTCTCTGAACTGACTTGATAAACATCAGAATTTCTTACTAATAACCTTACCTGAATACTCATGTTATTTGCATTACAATTGTCCTGAATTATGCACAGAAAACAGACAAGGATTAAAATCCCAAAGTGCCCCCTTCCCAGTTCTTTAGAGAGAGACGGTACACAGGACCAAGCAAATTCATTTTGGGCCCCTGACTCACCTGTGAGCACTAGGCAGCTGCCTGATGGTTAACTGTGCTCCTTTAGAAAATAGCATAAGCAACAATCAAATTCTATTATGAACTTTTGAACACCAACATTCTGGCAGTTAATGATCCCAAAATTCCAAAGTTAAAAACAAAAGTTACCGTATTTACTCGAATTTAATGTGCCATCGAAACTAATGCACGTCTCAATCTTTGAAA